GGTGGTTTCTATTTGAAAAATCCCTGGTAACAAGCTGCACAACTTCATCAGATAATGGAGATGTCCATCCAGATCAGAAAATGCAGGTATCCATTCAGACAATGAAGGCGTCTCATTAGCCCATGGCAGGTATCCATTCAGGCAAAGAAGGAGTCTTTTTAGCCAGTGCAGGTGTCCAGTTAGCCAATACAGGTATCCATTCAGACAAAATAGGTGTCCATTCAGACAGAGAAGGTGTCCATTCAGACAAAGAAGGTGTCTCTAATTATACAATGCAGGTGTCTTCAGAGCAACACTGATACAGAAACATCAGACACAGACCATGATGATGTGCTCCAGATGCAAGCCGCCTTCTAGCTGATTGACAAATCGTGACCCGTTACATCAAGAGACCTATCGACTAGCAAATACCTTTCCTTACTCTGTCTAATGTGCTTCAAGGCAGCTGGCGCACACTCAATGAGAAATCTTTAATTTCATTGAACAAACAATATCCCACCACAACAAGCCAACAGGGGCAGATATGTGCATTGTAGTATTGCTTTGGGTAATACAATGAGCTGTTTTTTTCATGAAAGGTATCAAATTCCTTCATTCAATAAAACCCATAGTCCTGCCATTCACGGCACAAAGGCCAAGTCATTAACTTACGGCGATCATTGTTAGACTAAACACTTATGCATTCAATGAAAGAGCCCAAGTCAGCTCTAGCACATAAACGTTCTGTCTTCAGTGTCTTCTCATACATCACAGTTTAACTTGTTGCTTGAGGTGAGGTGAAACAGGGTATGATGTCATGTTCAAGATCATATCACTTATGTGGAGGATACAAGGTTGTTCTGTGGATTGTCACAATAATGTATTTCCTTTCTGTCTGTGTGTGTGTGTGTGCATACATGTGCCACATGTGTTAATGTGTGTCTATTTTTACTTGGTGTGGACTAATGATAGTTTCAGTGCTAGCCCACTGAGCTAGTGAGTGAGTTATGTTTTATGCTGCTTTAGCAGTACTCCACCATCACCAATACACCAATATCTCAGCTTGCTTCATCTTCTGAAGTCTGGCACTAGTAAATATAATAAAAGTGTTCATACAAACCAGATACAGATTCAAAAGCCTCATTATAATCAGAAATCCATGGTAAGTGATGACACCTGATCTTTGTTCCTGCCCAATCAGTAGTGCATAAAAAGGTCAAGGTCATGATTAAGGTCAAAATACATTTGACCCAGAAAATAGAACATTGGTACCCGACCCAATCTTGAAACAGGGTCAGGATCCAGATCAAGGTCAAGATCAAATTTCAGGTCACAGTAAACACACATTTTTTCAATTACAAACAATAATCTGTGTATCAATAACATATATTTCTTTCAAGAAGTTGAGTAAATTATTTCAACTTAAACAACATTCTTGAATATCAATGAAATCTGTTCCCCTACTTTCAAAATAATACACTGAGCTCCTTTTACATGAACGATTTCTTATAACTGGACAGACCAGGGACATTTACTCACTAATTGAACAATTACTATGAGATATGGGGTCATTACTGCCAACAATGTGCAGATGTCGGGACTTGCTAGGTGCTAATTTGTGTGTTAATGATGATTGACTTCGGCCAGAACTTGGCTGGACAGGGGTCAGCAGATTGAAACACGTGACTAACACCTCCCTGACATAAGACCTCAGTTGACTGACGTTTGGCCTTACAGAAACATTCAACAAAATTCCAAGTCAACCAATGCAACCCTAAATGTTGACTGATCATGACTGAAAATGTCTAGAACATAAGCAATGGCATCTAAAAACAACCGTGAACTCAACACTATCTCTGTGAAAAACTAATTATTTTGCATTTTGGAATTACAGGAACATTTCACAGGTACTTGCTGTTAATAATTAAACACATACAACAGTTTGTAAACTTGGCTCCTACAAGACAGTATTAGTTATAAGAAACATTTATTAGAAAAAAACTGGGGGAAAATCCTTCAAATTGGTGATTTCATTAAAAATGTATATATTTCGATAATAATCGATAATCGTTCACCACAATCCTCCGATAATCAATAGTGGATTTGGTGTCCGATTCCCAACACTAGTCTGATACATACAAGGCAACTAAACAAATAAGACTGAGACTTGGTTAACTGCGTGTAATATATAGTACCCTAACTGCATGAGATGATGCTCATGACATCAATCACTAACCTGTCTGGATCAAGCCCAGTTATTTACAGCCTAAGATCACATAGACTAAACAAAACATAAAATACCAATCAACCAAACAACATAGTGAGTGAGTTAAGGTTTACACCGCTTTTAGCAATATTCCAGAATATCACATCGGGGGACAACACAATGAGTTTCACACACACTGTACCCATGTGGGGAATCGAACCCAGGTCTTCGGCATGCCGAGCAAACGCTTTAACCGCAAGGGCTATGCCACCATCCCCCTAAACAACATAGATATTTTCAGTAAATAAATTACCTCTTCCACTGGAGTTGTGTATTGTAAAAATGCTTCACTAAAAGATCAAAAGTGCCACTTATACTTTATCCTGCGTTCTTGTGCTTTCATAGTTCAGGGTAAACACTTTATCACCCTACACATTATTTTTTTAAATATTCTAATATATTGGGAGTTAATTTTAGTGTGACAGTGAATGACACGGGATATAAATACAGAACCTATTTTCTACATACTATAGGAAATATTACAAAATCAAAGTCCACATGATCAGTTGCAACCATTTTGTTGTCACAGATACAGGGGAGACAACTCTGGAAAAAAAAAATGTCCACCATATTGTAAATCAATGTCACTAGGAAGCATCTTTTGTGAATGAATTTCTGTGTAGGATACACAATACAAATCATTACAAAAATATGTTATGTTTTTTAAACCAGAAGATAAGAAAACATTTTGAAGCACATCTAGAGTATTGCAATATACAGTACACTGGTTATACAGTGCAGTTGTACTTTAATCCTTTTTGCTGTATGTCAGCATATTATGCCAGCACTGTACAAGTGTTTTTTGACATAACATGAATTTCACACCACTAGCTCCCAACAATGCCTGAGCACAAGTTTCACCATGGATGGCTAGCAGTTTGATTTATCTCTACAATCAATGGTAAAGCTTGCAGCGCTATTGTCTGTAAATGTCAAACAGGTGTGGGAAAATAGCCATGATAGAGGACATGCTTCAACACAAAAACACTGGAAAGTTGTCCATGTTATTGATTGACACAACTTCCAGGCCAGAACAGAACAATTTATTGTTTTAAATATTTTAAGCAACTTTAGGATCCTTGATTAAAAACTGAAACCTGACTGTCATAACACCCAAAAATATATTAAACTTACTTACATTACACAGTAGGAAAGCTCTCAAATGTAAGGCAAGGTTGGTTTCTTGTTTAACACCGCACTCAGCAATATTCCAGCTATATGGGGCTGTCTCTAAATAATCTCAGCTGGACCAGACAATCCAGTGATCAACATCATGAGCATCGATTTACGCAATTGAGATACGATGACATGTGTCAACAAGTCTGACCACCTGATCCCTTTGGTCGCTTCTTACGACAAGCATGGGTTACTGAGGATCAAGTCTAACCAGGATCTTCACAGGTTTGTAAGGCTAGGAAATAGGGTGATCTCGATTTGGGCCAGATGTACTGGTAGGACATGTTCCACAAGGTGAGGTGAGGTGGTGAGGTAGTGAGGCGAGGTTAGGTGGTGAGGTGAGGAGGTGGTGAGGTGAGGTGAGGTGAGGTGAGGTGAGGTAAATCGAGGAAAGATGAGGAAATATTGCTAAATCCAGCAATATACCATCCTCTTCTTCAACAGTCCCAGTAAGCAACAACTGGGGCAGGTGTGTGTATGAAACAGGAAAGCACTTGCTCAGACCTTCGTGTTTACCGTCATCTGACATTTGGCGTATGGGTTTTGCAAAGGTCATCAAATCTAAACATTTGCTGACTCAGCAAACTTACAAATCTGAAGGTAAGTGTTAAAAGATATTTCCAGTACAAGTTCAAATGGAACAATATTTTCACAAAAATGGTCACTTTGAAGTATATCAAAATAGTCTAAGAATTACAAAATTTCAAGTTCAGAAAATCTGACATTATAAGTCTTGATACTGTCTCAAGTATATACACAAAAATACTTATCTGAATAAGATCATGTTCACATACCTGGTTAGCTAATTTCTGTTTGCACACTTCCACAAAAAAATGGTAAATTACGATGCCGCCATCGTCATAATAGTTAAAGGGGTAGTCAACAATGATATGTCAACAGACCTGCCTGAATTAAACTAGTCTCTGACAAGCAGATTTGTCACTTTCGAACCTAACCTCATGTTTTATATATTATAAGCTACAAATCACGCACATCATAAAGTTGTTCCTTTTTACAGTCTCTCTTCACCCTGTCTCTTAAAGCCTCCACCGTTAATCAACACCAATTATTCCAGCAGCATAAAACTATCAAAAAATCCTAAATCTGCCAAAATCACACAACCCAAAATTGCAACAATAATTGACATGGCTACCCTGTAATTTTCACGATCTGATACCATCAAATAACACTTATCAACAAATCTCAAATTAAAGCTCCACAACCATCAAAACATCAGCCTCTCAATAACACATCTTCAGGCAAAACGCTGCAGGGTATTACAAACCAAATCTGAGCTAAAATCGGGAATAAATCATCCTCACCCGAACCTGTATCATTTTCCCGATCGGTTTTCATCCTTACACAAATCGGCTCCACGGCAGTTAATCAACGTAATGCAAAACGCAGTCTCCTGGTGATGGGTCTTGTCATAATAATAAATGTTTATGGCCGAATTGATGGTAGTCCGTCCGTTTCCCGACAACCCAACTACATGTGAAACACTGTAACCCTCAGTCACCCAGGGAAAGACTTTTTGCATATTTGTCGTCCTCCACAAACAATGAGGTCGCAGAATGGTGTTTACTTTGTATAACGAGGACTTATCATGGTATGTGACGTGCATGTGTAGGTGAAATTGGGCCTGTCAGTTCGGATTGTTGAGACAGCGGACACCATCGAAACTTGAAATTGAAGATTGTGGTCGGTCAACAATGGTCAGTTTCTTAACTTACTCCTTTTCTATTTTAAGCTGTTGTATAAATGAGGGATTAAGGTGACCTTAGACATCCTTCAACAAGAGTATTATAACCAAGGGAAATTTAGATTCTAATTCAGGGAATTCCAATCACATTGCTAATACTGATGAAATCTCTTTCTGTCGTGATGAAACGTTATAAATTACTTTTTTCACACACAAAAAAATAGGATGTCATTAAAACAGAATAGCATTAGGACCGGAGACTGGAGGTTTCTGGAGGTTGTTTAATCTACGTATGAACACTGTGCTGTGCTGTGCTGTGCTGTGCTGTGCTGTGCTGTGCTTAATGTGAACATAGTGCTGTGCTGTGATAAATGTGAACACAGTGCCGTGAATAGTATCACAGCATATTAGACTTAATGGCGGGTAAACCCAAAGCGATGAAAGTCATAGATCTATATTTACTACTGTCATGAAACCACAAAAGGGGCCTGATCAAAGATCACAATTACAATTCTGTGATTCGGTCGAATGAGTAAATTGGTTAAACACTGATTTAGGCGGTGTTGCAGTTATACTGTAGCTTAATTTGGCACCAAAGACAGACATTTATTACTTCAGTGAGTATGGGTTTGGTACTCATAGAGTGAGTGAGTGAGTTCTGTTTTATGCCTTTTTTTTTTTGGTGCAATATTCCAGTAATATCACAGCAGGGGACTCCAGACAATGGCGTCACACATGTATCCATATGGGGAATTGAACCCTGGTCTTCAGAGTGATGAGCGAACACTTAAGAAACAAGGCTACCACACCTCCCCTGGTGCTGATAGACCAAGGATCAGTAACCACGTCCGAACCTTGGATTCAAAATAACTAAATGAAAAATAGCATCCAAAAGAAACTCATCGAGTGAGTGAGAGAGTGAGTGAGTTCAGTTTTACGCCGCACTCAGTAATATTCCAGCTATATGGCGGCGGTCTGTAAATAATCAAGTCTGGACCAGACAATCCAGTGACCAACAGCATGAGCATTGATTTGCGCAATTGGGAACCGATGACATGTGTCAACCAAGTCAGCGAGCCTGACCACCCGATCCCGAAAGGAACTCAGAACAGAGCTGAGGCAATGCAAACTTGCCCAGTCATTCCAGACTTACCCAGTCATTCCAGACTTGCTGGACTCAAAAAGGGGAACATTTACCCCTTTTTGTGTATCACTTCTAAATGCCTTTCTGTCAGTTTGAGTTTTACTATTCATTCTCTATTATTGTCAACACACAACTTATATAAGAAGCATAACTGAATGCTGGTGCAGTACTTACTTAGATGTGGACTGTTGATGGTGACCCCTGTGCTGACGACGCCGTTGGGCGCGGCAGGAGTAGAGGTTGCCTGTGGGTGATGATTGGTTATTGACATGTCATTCATGGCCATTGGCGTCACTGGTTCAATTCAGGGCCTTTATCCTTCACCGGGGTTTGTGGGTTCCCACGCCCACTTTCAACACCTTTGTCTTCCGACTTTATAATCACTTCCTCGTTTGCAATCTTCGCCTTCTTCTTGCCACCTTTAGATGGAGACTTTTTCGTGGGCGACTTCTTCGGAGGCGATGCCGATTTAGGCACAGTGTCAGCAGTAGTCTTTGATTCAATCACAATATCTTTCGTCTTTGGTCCCGCCCTGGGTTCTCGGTCTAATGTTTCTATATTGGGGGGCGTGGACTCCCGACTCGGTGTCCTGGACGACTTTGACCCCCTCTTGGATGATCGTTTGGGGGAATGTGTGAGGGACGTTTCTCCCTCCTCGTCCCCCTCCTTGGGATGTTTCCCATGCTTCTGGCCTGAAGAAAGAAAACAGCAAAATTAACATGGGATAATTTTGTCTTGTAAATCAACATAAGAAGTGAACAATTCAATAGGGTTTGTGCAGCAGAGAGCAGAACAGTTTTGACAGTGTTAGTCCAGCAGATAAACCACCTGCCTGGAACACAGAACATTGGTGGTTTGATTCCCTGCATATCATACCAAGAGGTTAAAAGATGGTACTTGTTATTACCCTGTCTGGCACTTGAATTTTGGGGGTCATATATGGACTGGTCATCTCGGCACAGCATACCAGTCTAAGTGGGGTATCTTTGTTTGACTGTATATCATTGTTCTGGTTTAGTAGAAGCAGACACACATGTCCATGCATATTACTATATAAGCAGCAATCTAACACTTCATTTCACCCTATGCATGTGACATCTGATTTCTCAGGTAGAACATGACTTCCTGATTTATGAGACAGTAACCATACAGCATACAAAAACAAACACAAACAAATTTGAAACAAAATAATATGACATGACTTCATAAAAACATTCAATACTCGAGAAGTCAATATATACCGTATATTACCGTCTATAAGCCGACCCCATAGATAAGCCGACCCCCAAACTTGACCATTAAAATCAGTGTGATCTATGATCTAACTTAAAAAAATGCCAAAATTTAAAATAAAACCACTTGGAATTTGAAAAAACTATAGTTATTCATCAGCTGGACAGAATTGGCAGAAGCCGACAAGTGATATATTACAGCATGAACGATGAGTCAATTTCTGTCAATCCCCAATCTCTGTTGAATACCAATCAGTCTGGAATCAGCAAGCTTGGCGCCAGGAACAGCCCAACACCGGGGCTGAATATGGATTTCATGGAAAACCACAGCATTCTAAATTTTCAGATAAATAGAGACCAATCATAATTGATTTCTCTATGAGCCTGGCAAATTTGTATCTTAAAAAAAAGGACACACAAGCACATGCAAATCATTCATCAATGCTGAAGTATTTTTTAAACAAAATTCTACACAGTAAAATTTACCATTGACAACAACATGTTGTTGGACTTCCAATACAGCAATGACTGACTATATTTCCTGACTGACTATAGTTCATGAAAGAAGAATGTCAAGATTTGACAAAACACTAGTCATTATACATACCAAGAAGATAATTAAAGTTTCCAAATGTAGAAATCATATTTTCCACACAAAAGCCTAAGTTGAGCACTGAAAACTACAAACAGACTGAGCCAAAGCTTGGAAACATTGGCCTAAAGGTGTCACTAGTTGACAAAACACTATTTGTTTTACATACCAAGAAGAATATGAATGTTTTCACAAGTAGAAATCGTAATAATTTCCATACTTTGGCCTATACCATCACTGTTAACATACTTACTAAGGAACAACAAAACCTTGTCCAGAACGATAACTAGTCTTACCTAGATATTGTAGAATGACCTTCCCACCATTCCCGAACCCTGAATGCGAAACTAAAACCTCCATCACACGTTCTGTTCCTGCATCTGCCTACAGCCTGAGTGTGGCCAATACAGACCAAAGATCTGAACCCTTGGTTTAACACATGAAAACTGCCTCACCCTTGAGCATGCACATTAAAGATTTCGTAATAACTCGCAGGTTTACGAGTCTTCCACCTGACACTTGTGCCTTGCACACTGACAAAGAGACTGGTAGCTCGTATATTTTCAGAAACAAAGACAGAAATAGTTGTTTAAATACCGTGCAGAGATCATCAGCAGGCAAAATATCTCCTTGGCGAGGTATTTTGAACAAAAGTTCATGTCGTCTGAATTTGTTAACTTTTTCCACATCAGAAGCCGATTACTTAGCTTCTGGTATGATCGCGCTGCACTGTTTTGCATGTTTTTGTGGTTGTCGAATGTCAGCGGCAGGCTGATTGTTTGCTGCCAGGATTAAACATGCTTAAATGAACAGTCTGATGATGACTCTCTCGTAACAAATTACACGACTTCATGTTCTGTCGTCTGCTCACTAACCTTACTTTTACCTAACTCTAACATGCCTCAAAATCAAGAAATTTACACCTTCCCATGGAAATTAAAAACCATCTTTGACCAAAACTGCATGTTATTTATGTCATAAGTTTTTATCTACAAGATGCTACTTGTCTACAACTACTTTTCATACAGCCTAAAGCCAAATCAAGTGTATTCAACATTCTGTTCATTTCTGTTCCCAATTCTGGAAGTGTATTTCATGTCAACAAACCAAAGCTGGTGTTTAAACATGGTCAACACTCTTGTTTGCGAAGATGGGGTCTTTAAGGATTCACACTTGGACTTGTAAATATATGTTTTTCATCCAAGCCTCCCCCTTACAAACAGTATCTGAATAAGTCGTCATACTAACAGTATGGTCTCGGTCAGCTGTCTTTGAAACGATACCTTGGGCAAGTTGTATCTTAATGAGGCTCTCTTGTCGGGACACTAATGAACATCATAATGAAATTTGAATGAGCTCGGCTTGAAAATGGCGAATCTTGTGAATATTTAATACTCACGTGACTTTGGGCCATTATTCCTAACAGCTGCCACTTTTTATTCAATGGCTCAAACTAAGCGATCCATCAATGGTCATTGTAACCTTGAGATCAAAGTGGATTCAAAATATTCATGATGATTGCTACTATTGCTTTGATTGAAACAGTCCATTCAGGGAAATACTCCCAGCACTGTAATCAACAACTCTGTATGCAAACTTCTACAAATCATGGCAACAAAGATTTGCCTTCAAGATACTGATATAAACACAGCAAGAATCCAAGGTCAATGAGCCCATAATGTAAGAATCTAACTATTCCATGAAGATGTCCGTGAAGATTCTTAACAAATCACATGTTAAACACGTGAAAAATGTATGGCAAAATGCATACGATACAAGCAAGCCAAACCCAATTTCCAGGTAAACAACTTTAGACTTCAATTTGATGAATATAATCTAAAAACTCTTGTAACTGTCTGTTAAAATAGATGAAGCTCACCTTGGCCCAAGCAATTTCAATGGCACTCCGATTATTGCATGGGAGCTACAAGTCATGGTACCAACATTGCCTGTGAAACTGGTGGCAGGTGAGCTAAAATGGTTTCTGATTGGACACCTCACCATCTGGATGAGTCTGCGGGAGACATTATGGCTTGCTTCATTCAGGAAGATCGCACATCATGAATCAACCAAACAGAGATGTCAAAAACAGCAGCCACTGCCTGTTCTCAACATTAAAACATATTGTTTGCCTAAATGCTCTGTACACCTGTTTCAGAATTCTTTGATTTAATAAATCATATATTTGTTTTATTTGGTGTTGAGACTAGTGTTGGGAATTGGTTGAAATCACAATTGATGATTGCTTCGTTACTAACAACAATCATCGAAAAAATTGGTTAGAGTCATTTTTCAGATTTTCCTATCCAGGTTGTTACTGCAGAAAAGTATAACATGATGCAACTTGTTACTTTAAAGTGATGACTAATATATCATGAACATAAACTTCCTGGAGTCTTAGAGAAATATCCAGTCTTTACTTTTCAGTTAGTGAAGTGAGTTTTCTAAGAAATATACATGTTTCCAGGCCGTGACAACTTCTAAGATATGTTCCATTGTCAAGTATTTCAAAGACTAAAACAGTAGTTCCAAAATCGTTTATGTTCGATTATGAGAAAATGTGATCGATTGCTTGGTCGTTTGGTCACTGCGACCAATCTTCGATTATTTAAATTAATCAGAACACCACTAGTTGAGACACGTCATTATATTCCAAGTACATGCATTCATATGGCCATACACATAACATACTTAAGTCTGCAGTCTGATTATGAGCTTGTTCAAGGTGAATTGGGACGTTGGGAAGCAAAGTGGTTAAAGCATTCGTTTGTTGTACAGAAGGTTCTGTTCCATTCCCATCTTAATGTATAATGCCTATGTTGTGATATTGTTGGTATATTGCTTGATGTGTTGTGAAACATACTCACTCACTCACTCATGGGGAAACCTCATCTTCTGCTCTCAACATGATCCAATGTCATTATGATGTTTTAGCATATATGTATCATCATCATCATCATCATTAGCTGACTGAATGGTTAGTCTCTGAATACATGTAATTTTGATCATAACAAATAAACCCATTTAAACTGAATAGGAACCCCAGCAATGGAGATTCAGAACTTGAACCCGTAGAAGTCTAGACTTGCTTCATTTAGGGCTTTAGGCAGTAGGGAAAATAATGAGATTCTGGGGCTTTTGAGACAGACAACCCACTTTGTGGGCCCTGATGACGGGAATCCCCACTGTAGAGCACACGAACAGCCCTTTAGTGCCCCACATCACCATCGACACAACCACCACTACAATACACCACCAACAGCTGAGTCCGGTCATCTAAATTCTTACTTAAACCAATATGCCAAATACATTAACACAGCCCCACACATCAAGCAGAAACTGCTGACTCAGCATCCCTTGCTGGAGCCAAGCACTGCCGAGCACAGCCTAACACCTGTTGGACAAGCCACAAATCTTGTGAAGCCTGCAGCCACTAATTACCATTTAACTCAGAGTGACAGGCAAGACAGGTAACACTGAGCTGTGATGGGTCAGCTGGTCAACTGACCACACTGACAGGACACATCAGACAACTTGTAGCCAGGTGGTAAGCTGTGAACATGGCCATCAAGGTATCAGTATCTTGTCCTAGACTGCCAGAGGCTCCAGTTTATGAATCTGGTAAGCTGTGAACATGGCCATCAAGGTATCAGTATCTTGTCCTAGACTGCCAAAGGCTTCAGTTAGTTTATGAATCTGGTAAGCTGTGAACATGGCCATCAAGGTATCAGTATCTTGTCCTAGACTGCCAAAGGCTTCAGTTTATGAATCTGGTAAGCTGTGAACATGGCCATCAAGGTTATCAGTATCTTGTCCTAGACTGCCAGAGGCTCCAGTTTATGAATCTGGTAAGCTGTGAACATGGCCATCTAGGTATCAGTATCAGTATCTTTATGTCCTAGACTGCCAAAGGCTAGACTGCAGTCCAGTTTATGAATCTGGTAAGCTGTGAACATGGCCATCAAGACTCAGTATCTTGTCCTAGACTGCTAGAGGCTTCCAGTTTATGAATCTGGTAAGCTGTGAACATGGCCATCAAGGTATCAGTATCTTGTCCTAGACTGCCAGAGGCTTCCAGTTTATGAATCTGGTAAGCTGTGAACATGGCCATCAAGGTATCAGTATCTTGTCCTAGACTGCCAGAGGCTCCAGTTTATGAATCTGGTAAGCTGTGAACATGGCCATCAAGGTATCAGTATCTTGTCCTAGACTGCCAGAGGCTCCAGTTTATGAATCTGGTAAGCTGTGAACATGGCCATCAAGGTATCAGTCAGTATCTTGTCCTAGACTGCCAGAGGCTCCAGTTTATGAATCTGGTAAGCTGTGAACATGGCCATCAAGGTATCAGTATCTTGTCCTAGACTGCCAGAGGCTCCAGTTTATGAATCTGGTAAGCTGTGAACATGGCCATCAAGGTATCAGTATCTTGTCCTACTGACTGCCAACAGGCCATCCAGTTCAGTATCTTGAATCTGGTCTGGTAAGCTGTGAACATGGCCATCAAGGTATCAGTATCTTGTCCTAGACTGCCAGAGGCTCCAGTTTATGAATCTGGTAAGCTGTGAACATGGCCATCAAAGGTGTGAACTTCAGTATCTTGTCCTAGACTGCCAGAGGCTCCAGTTTATGAATCTGGTAAGCTGTGAACATGGCCATCAAGGTATCAGTATCTTGTCCTAGACTGCCAGAGGCTCCAGTTTATGAATCTGGTAAGCTGTGAACATGGCCATCAAGGTATCAGTATCTTGTCCTAGACTGCCAGAGGCTCCAGTTTATGAATCTGGTAAGCTGTGAACATGGCCATCAAGACTTCAGTATCTTGTCCTAGACTGCCAGAGGCTTCAGTTAGTTTATGAATCTGGTAAGCTGTGAACATGGCCATCAAGACTTCAGTATCTTGTCCTAACAGACTGCCAGAGGCTTCAGTTAGTTTATGAATCTGGTAAGCTGTGAACATGGCCATCAAGACTTCAGTATCTTGTCCTAACAGACTGCCAGAGGCTTCAGTCAGTTTATGAATCTGGTAAGCTGTGAACATGGCCATCTAGACCACAGTATCTTGTCCTAACAGACTGCCAGAGGCTCCAGTTTATGAACCTGGTAAGCTGTGAACATGGCTATCAAGAGTTAAGTATCTTGTCCTAACAGACTGCCAGAGGCTTCAGTTAGTTTATGAATCAAGTAAGCTGTGAACATGGCCATCTAGACTACAGTATCTTGTCCTAGACTGCCAGAGGCTCCAGTTTATGAATCTGGTAAGCTGTGAACATGGCTATCAAGACTTCAGTATCTTGTCCTAACAGACTGCCAGAGGCTTCAGTTAATTCATACATCTGAACTGAGCTTAAACTGTCATCTGAATCATATTGTTCCATGTCCAGTGAGAGAAACTGATACCCTCAAAACAACTCCTACAATATGCCTCAGATGGTGAAAATTCCAAGACATTAAAATTAAAATTTCTTAAACATTCCATCCTAAACACATACTGGAGTCACTATGAAATTGAATAAACATCACAACTCCTTCTGAAGAGTATCATCAAGTAAAAATTCTCATCAAATCATACACAATCAGACAATCTGCAACCAAACCTCAAAGACACGAGCAGGTCAAAATTTCAAAACGATCCCTCCTACCTTAACCCATACTGATCACCAATTCAACAAATACTGTAATCGTATATATTTTCACAGGAGCAATTTTCGTGGAAAGTTCACAAAAGACCTGTTAGCACAGTTGTTTTTTTGCGCATTTCAAACACCAGAGTGATGGTATCCATCACAAAGTTTTCACAACCGATACACATGCAATGGTCAAAGCTAGCCGCCATAATTGAATCGTGTTTACTAAAACAATCAGGGAGTCAACATGGCAACACCTGTCCCATATGCGAGTTCAACTGACAACGAATTAAGGAAGAGAGTACACTAGGACTTACGATAATTAAACATAGAAATCATAAAGTAAAGTGTTTGATGTTTATGAACACGTGTTGTTCACATGGTCAAATCGTTGATTGGCTGCATTTCGTGTCTTTGTTTCAATTGCATGTTGTTTCTACTTGAGTATTTGTCATGACCTTACCATGAATATTTCGCTTGGTATGATTATTGACGCACAGTCTTTTTGCGCTAATAGTGCAAAAATTAATCCGACGCAAAATAACTACGATTACAGTATATGACTGTCAGATCTCTTGGAAGGAACGTCTCTAGAAGACTGCCTTGGAAGAAGCAACTTCCCAGACATTAAAGTCCGATATCTTAAACATTCCGTCCATCACACTCGTTCTGTGGGAGATAATGTCTGAAACAAATTGAATAACCCTTCAGTCAATGTTCTATTACAGAATCCCATCTCAGCAAACATGATTACGTCCATAAACTACAGGAGCTAATTCTCGGCCCATAGCAAACATGGCTACTTTCTCACTCATGCCCCACTGCCTTATCACAAACATTCAAACAACTTAACGGAGATAGTTATGGACAAACTCTTATCCTTTGAATAACTTTTTCCAGGAATAATGCACATTAAAAGTTCAAGAACCTGTGGAGGAAAAGTCATCATTTCAGCAACTTCAAAAGCAGTGGTTCGAAACAACTTGCACAAATGAGGTCTCAGTTTGTGAACGGCCACCGTGGTTCAGTGGAAAGAGCATTTGCTCAGAGAACAGAATGCTAGGATCTCTGACAGTGTCGTGCCAAAACAGTATAAATGATTGTACTTGTTGCTACCTTGCCTGTGCTTGGCATTGATGGGATGAAACAAGGACTGGATCATGGCTTCTAGTCAGTACACTCAGAGATGCCAACCCTAATTTAGCCCAATTAGTATTTTGGGCCAAAAACTGATGCAAAAATTAGTATTTTGGGGCCAAAATTAGTATTAACTTTTCCAAAGGGTTTTCATATCAAATAAAAAATATATGGATAATTTAAGAGCTTGTTATTAACAGTGTACTCATCCAAACAGTATAAGTATCCACATACAGCTTGATACTGAATAAAATGTGGTTGAAATTTATTGTGTATGCTACATATGCTATTTGATGATTTAATTTAATTAAAAAATCGTACATTTTTACTGCTATCGTAATTGCGTATTTTGTGTTTGTTTTTTTCGTAACGAATATGATAACATCGTATGGGTTGGCATCTCTGGTATACTGCATCTGAGTGGGGCATCCA